TTCTTCATTTGTTTATGAAGTTGGGAAACCTGTACGCACTTTTTTTTTTTCAAACTGTTCTTAACAAATTCACGTAGAATATTTTCCACGAATCCATCTACAATGGTGGGCTGTTTATCAACTGGGTCATGTACTTTCCATGGTATTGACTGCCATCCTTCACCATCGTGAAATACCCTATTGTCAAATGAGATAATTCCTCTCTTATATAAACTGACTATCAAAAGGTATTTTCAATAATCTGCGTGTTTACCGTGAAATCATATTTGTCCCCTTTCCGGAAAATGGAAAATGGCATTGCGTTTCCCACAGTAGCTCAAAAGATTTCTCTTGCAGGTGAGTCATGTCAACATTCAGGATGCCCATCAGCATCTCATTAACTCCATAAGGGAAATTTAAAACCCAGTTCCACTTTCCCTCCGCTACTTTTCAGCAATAGGAGTTCTTAGATGTGCATCAAATTGCAGATATTCACAACTTGAATTTAAAATCTCACTCTCCCCCGTCTCCCCTCCTATCTATTATCATTTTTTCTCCTCTCTGCCATTGGAGAAGGTAGTGGATGGAAAAAGTAGTGCCTTTATAGATATAACATATAAATAGATATGTGAATCCATCCTTACTTGTATTCTAAACTCTTTGAATAAATAAACAAGGACCCAAAGATAAAATGTAAAATTTCCCCACAAGAAAATAAAACGAACGAGATCTTATGCAATACATCCAAACGTTATGTAGTCCTGATAAAAGACATTACTGTTACATATGCAGAATAAAATAGTGGAAACCAACAAACCCTCTCACTAAGCTGCGCAAATATATAGCTCCAAAATTCCAAAGAATGCGAAATTCAAAGAAATGCCAAGACTTGAACCCCGCATGTTTAAAGGGACCAAAATAAGAGGCAAATAATAAAAAAACCGACTCTACTACCAATAAAAGAAACAGATTATTTCAAATCGATTTCAGAAGATACTACAATAAGCAAATTGAGACCATGAATAACAGCAATCCTCTTGCAATCATAAAATAAGGATTTTGATAAAGGAAAAAAAACATAAAGATCAATATAAATTCGAAACGGGAAAAAATAATCTATAAATGACGTGGTTTACATGTATAATGATGCAAGAAACGCTCACAATCTAAAAACGGAAAAACTTCTAGAACAACGATTTTTGTGAAGGAGAGCCAAAAACAGATCAATACTGCAGAGACGTCAGAACGGTTACGTGACTGAATATCGCATATCAAAAGAAAATGGAAAATGAAGGAATGAACCTCAAAAACTAAATTTACAAAATAAGAATTTACTTTGTATTTGTAATAAATCTTATCAATATTATGACTTTCTTGGTTTAAATACAGACTTACAAGAAGTATAGATGAAAGGCAGGATGTCCAGAACGGCTTACATTGGTTCTCAACTGGCATGACGACTTTTATGGTTCACAGAGTAGTTGTGTATTTGGTAGTAAATTTGAGTCGATGCACAGGCTCTTAGATTTATTGAAATTACAATATTAGAAAAAATATATTGCAAAAAAAGACAACAACTAAATAACAAGCTTAAAGCTTTAGTACCGCTTCCTGTCACCGTACGTTTCGAAGATGAATATGCAAGATTCCCGCATTCGTACACTATCCTATCACATTTGAGAGCCGTGGTGGTGAGTCACGTGTCCTCTGCAAATCTACTCTCTCCCCAAGACAGCATCAAGACTTTACTTGAAAAAAGAGGGAAAAAAACAGAATGTCAAGCTTGGAAAGCAAAAATACGAAAGCTGCTAAACAAAGCGTAGATATTTCTTTCCACAGATATACATGCCAAGGGAAGGATTACCTCTCGTCAGGGATCCATCTATAATATAAGTTAATGAATGTTCTGGGGAATATGTGCAAGGAATTCTCGGATTTAAATACAAAAAAAAAGAAAAAAATGACTTGATGACTACACATGTGCATCAGTCTACCGTGGAGAAAAATGAGCCAATATAAATGATACTTATTGAAACATTTCAAGAAAGTGACCATTATTTTGTAATTTCTCTCTCTCTCTGTCTCTGTCTCTTCTCCTCTCCTGTCTATCTGTCTCTGTCCTCTCCTGTCTGTCTGTCTCTGTCCTCTCCTGTCCTGCCTGTCTCTCTCTCTCTTTTCTCTTCTCTCTTCTCTCCTCTCTCCTCTCCCTCTCTCCTTCTCTCCCTCCTCCTCTCTCCTACTCTCCCTCCTTCTCTCCCTCCTCCTCTCTCCTTCTCTCCCTCCTCCTCTCTCCTTCTCTCCCTCCTCATCTCTCCTTCTCTCCCTCCTCCTCTCTCCTTCTCTCCCTCCTCCTCTCTCCTTCTCTCTCTTTCTCTCCCTCCTCCTCTCTCCTTCTCTCCCTCCTCCTCTCTCCTTCTCTCCCTCCTCCTCTCTCCTTCTCTCCCTCCTCCTCTCTACTTCTCTCCCTCCCTACGTGTTTGTGTGTGTGTGCGTTGCGTTGATCAAGAGAGAGAGAGAGAGAGAGAGAGAGAGAGAGGGAGAGAAAAAGAGAAAAAGAGAAAAAAAGAGAGGAGAGAGAGAGAGAGAGAGAGAGAGAGAGAGAGAGAGAGAGAGAGAGGGAGGGAGAGAGAGAGAGAGAGAGAGAGGGAGAGAGAGAAAAAGAGAAAAAAAGAGAGGAGAGAGAGAGAGAGAGAGAGAGAGAGAGAGGGAGGGAGAGAGAGAGAGAAATATTGCCACGACAACAGCCGTCATACTAAATACATCTTATACAAAGGTGTCTATGAATAACAAAGGAAGTTGCCAACCACATGCCTCCCCTTCCCCGATCGCTGCTTTCTATGTATGGTTCCCTGTTAAGTACAATGTTAATCTTTAGAAATTTTCCATCATGCAAAATTTAGCATTAGTCCAAATATGATTAAGCTACTCAGTAACAGCCCTCTCTGTGAAAAAAATAAATGTATGTTAAGTTACTTTAAAATCAGCCTATTAAAATTAGTTAGAAATATGTAAGTAACTTTGATATTCTTCCCTGGGAATAACTTTTCATAAAGTAAGCCAGTCTGATTCAACTTCATTCAGAAATTTATTGCGCACAAAAGATGAACAGATTTCTTTTCTGCTCCCCTTAGAAAGATGGTAGTTCAGTAGTTCCTCACTTGAAACCTCGGGATTTGCCCAGTGACTGTGACCAGTTCTCTGAAAGCTGCTGGCTCTTTACGTAAGTGATGTCGAAATATACAGCACGCATAAGTTCATACGTTTTATTTATTAACATATGTTAAAAAAAAATCGGAAAATAAATAAACAACACTAATTCCAACCCTAAGTAATAAGAACAATATTATTGGTGAGTTTTTACAATGAAAACTTAATATGAACAGAAAATCTTGAGAAATAACCATAGGAGGAAAGTTTATCGGATTTCAAATCGCGCGCTCTATGACGTCACCCGCTACAGCAACGCCAGTCAACAGTGGCGGCAGAACGAGAGATCACATCCGGGGTCTGGTGAAAGTTGCCTCTCCGCCATTGCAGCAAGTAGCGTCTCCGCACCCAATATTCATCACGAATCATCCATCTGTCCGCAGAGGGAAACCGATTCATTCTCGCACACGTATATTCAACAGAGTCGCATGTCAATCCAGAACCTCAATACATATGGTGAGTGTTTGTTTAAAGGGCAGAAAATCGAATGGAATTTAACGTGGAAGGGATCAATGACAAGTGAAAACGGGTCTGTGTCATAATTCCACTCTTTTTGCCTGTCCTGAGCTAGCTTTAGGATATCCATCTAACCTATATTAAATACCTACATTTCATTCTCCCGAAATGCTCTTCGTAAATTCACTAATTTATTTAACCACTTATAAGTAAAGTCAGATGACGTCAGAATTGATTATTCCCGAAGTTTCCGGAAATGAGGACAAAGCGAGGATCGGGTCACTAATTTCACCGAAGGTTTAAATACCCTAAAAGCTGTGTAAAAGCGCATTCCCTTGTGAGCATTGATTTTCACTTATTTCTTAGGTCACACACGCACCAGGAAGAATCTCCGGGTCCATCCTATAGTGTTAAGGTCACGCACCCTCCATTTAGGTCAGCTGGAGGATTATAAGTCTGGTTCTCTTCATTTTGGGATTTGGAATTGCCTCTTAAAGCTGCCGGGGACGTCCAAGGACCACGCCCTGGATGATGGAAGGGGGTAGATAGGCCTACTTGATAGTCGTAAGAGTTTCGCTGAGGATTTGCCAGGAAGAAGGCATTGGCCATGAATTCGTGAAGGTAAATATCATGCTAAGGTCAATGCTTTTGTCTTGGGAGTTGCGAGATCTGGGAGCACCAATTTTAAGGCTAAGACAAGAGATAATTTAATGTATGTAAATTTTGTACATGATGGATGGTTCCTTGTCTTGTAGGTATTCATAGTAATACATTATTTAACTAGTAAAAATATTTGCTTAGTTTAAGTTCTTTGTTCAGGTAGGTGCATTTTTCATGAATTATCATGAATAAGTAGAGGGAGCTGGTCCAGAATGAGGGCAGTATGGTTAGTTCTTTTGGAAATAAAAGATTTTGTTTAATATTACCAAGAGCGATGCATGGAGATAGAGGGGAATAGACACTACCACCTTATAGAGCATTAAAAATAGGTAAGCAATGCAGGTATATCTACAGTTTCTTCATATTTATTGAAAAATAAGGAAAATGTCATCGCTCAGAAACCAAGTCCACAGTACCCTCACACAGCAAGATTTCTTAATGTCCATTTTATGTAAGTTGTCACGAAGTGCTAATAAAGTGGAGGGGATACAGGGGGGGTTTGCCCTCTTGTTTAGAGAGTAAATAGGTAGGAAAGGTTAGGTTTGTGTTAAGGGTTCACATGCTACCCTGGTGTTGGGATTTTGTCACCTAGAAGATGCGTCACTCTTGGTAATAAATACCAGGATTTTGTTTTAGTATTATAAACAATATCTTGTATTCAGCAATAAATTATTTATAATGGAGAAGAATTCAGGGAGAAGAGTATAGTGATCTATTTCCTATTAAAACACTGCTCACAGCCAAAGTCCATTCCGTACTTCTTGATGTTGGGGACGTTCTCTCTGGCAAGTGTGTTAATACTGTAAATAATAACCAGCTCATTCCCTATCCAGTTATCAGGCCAATATTGTCACAGTATTTGTTACCTAGAGCGATGCACCTTCCAGAGTCTTAGTCCCAAAACTTTGGTATCGTGTGAACCCAAAATCCAAACACAACCCTTTACTAGCACATTGTACCAACTTATAGAAAACTTTGGCATTAAGAACTCTGGCTGTGTAAGGCTGTTGTGGACTTAGTCTCTGATTGGGATATGCAGTGGATATTTTCATCATTCTACGGTAAATATGAGGCCTGAGCAGATGTACCCATGTTGTTTATTACTTTTATTTGTTAGGCTCTATAAGATGCAATGTTCATTTCCCACTATCCCTCTGTGTCCGCTCTCCGTAACATAAACCATTGTTGCTATGGTTTGCAGTTGATTAAAATAAAATATGCATATCAATATTATACTGATTTTGATATAGGTTAATGTTACCAAGAGCAACACAGAAATATAGAGAAGTGGGTGCTGCCAACTTACAAAGCATAAAAAAGAGTAATAGACAACTCAGGTACAGCTGGTCTGGCCTCATATTTACCACGAAATGAAGAAATTATCTACGACACATTACCGCTCAGATACTAACTCAACACCCTCACACACCCAGTTCTGAATGTCCTATTTCTGTAAATTAACATGAAGTGCTAATGAAAGAGGGGGAATAAATAAGGTAGGGTTGGATTTGAGTTCACATGATACCCTGGTTTTGGGACTTTATCTCTGGAATATGACTTTATCTCTGGAACAAATACCTTGATCAAGGATGGGACATCAGTTGTACCAGGAAAATTGTGGGGTTCAACTTGATTAATAATATTTTACATTAATTCTTTTATAGTATGGATGCACTTGCCAGAGACTAAGTCTGCAAATCCCATGTCTTAAAAATTAAATTAAGGGGAGGGATAATGGTAGGGGGGGCCTCTGCCAGGAAACATTATCTTCACCTTGGCATACAGGTCAAGATAGAGCTGAAATTTGGGAGCACTGAGTGAACTTAGGCTCAGAGCACAGCTTTCCACAATCTTTTTCCTTTATTTGTGGTGTTACCATTTATGTCTGCAGATTATATCTTGTACCTGTGACTGCAACTTTTTGTCCTCTACAAGAAAAT